TAAAATAAAATATATGCATTTGGGAGCAGGTGCTGATGTAAATAACTTTCCATCTTTATCAGGAATTGTGTCATTAGCTCACCATGAAAAAGACTCCCACCACCAGCAGCCAACCTCTCAAACGTGGACTCAGACACTTTCCCACCCTTTCTTCCCAGTGGCTTTCCCTCCCCTAACACAGGACAGGACAGGATACCTGCTGAAGGAACTTTTAGAAACTTAGAGCCCTACACAGAGCACCTGTTTTCTGGACCCTAATTACTTAGGATTATCTACCTTTCTCTCTACAAAATCCTTATAGCTTTTGCCCTCTAGGGAGGAGTCCACCAACCTCCCCAGACGCCAGCCTCACATTTTTTTAACTGATTCTTGGGAGAGTCTGTGTGCTTCAAAAGCCAAAAAATGTTACTTTGGTAACTAGACTCAGCACATTTTTAGAACTTAGGTTTACTGTTAAGTGGTCTTCTAAAGCAAAATTATTAAAATCAGATGCACATTTGATTTGCTATAAAATTAGGCCACCACTTAAGCTATAGCCATTTTTTTCAACTCTCTGCAAACCTGTTTTGTCTGTTATTTAATGTAGCTTATGAGGTTAATGTAACTTATGCATCAGAAATGGACTTTTAGTCCCACATTGAATACACTACTTTTACATAAACTTAAATAATTACATAACAGAAATAATTATTGGGACTAGTTGCTAATCTATACTTGTTGCTCACTTGTAGTCTGGGTAAACCTAGCCAGTTGATCCGAAGTCAAAACACTTAATTTTTTTTTCATGGTGCTGGTTTTTGTGGGGGCTTCTGGCTGTATCACATGGCAGATGGTGGACAGGGAACTGCATGCAGGAGAGGCCAAGCATGTAGGGTGACCAAACTTTACAAGAATCTGCTCTTGTGAGAACTGAGCCTCTCATACAACCCACTCCAACAAGATGGGAATTAATCCCTTCCAAGAGTAGTGCCCCTGTGACCTTATTATCTCCACTAGGCTGCACCTCTTTTTTTTTTCTTTTTTTTTATTTAATAAATGTGAATTTACAAAGTGCAACTTTTGTATTGTTGTGGCTCCCCCCCCAACCTCCTTCCCTCCCGCGACCCTCCCCTCTCCCACTCCCTCTCCCATCCGCCCTTCATCGAGTTTCATTTTCAATCACCTTCATATACAGAAGATCAACTTAGCATACACTAAGCAAGGATTTCAACAGCCTGCACTCACACAACTGCACAAGGTATAGGGTATTGTTCGACTAGTAGTGTTGTTTTAAGTTTCATAGTAAAACACATTAAGGACAGAGATCCTACGTGGGGAGCCTGTACCCAGTGACTCCCGTTGTTGATTTAACAATTGGCACTCTTATTTATGACGTCAGCAATCACCCGAGACTCTTGCTATGAGCTGTCTAGGCTATGGAAGCCCCTTGAGTTCACCAACTCTGAACTTGTTTAGTCAAGGCCATATCACAGTGGAGGTTCCTTCCTCCCTTCAGAGAAAGGCGCCTCCCTCCTTGATGGCCTGTTCCTTCTGCTGGGGTCTTGTTCACCAGGACCTTTCATTTAGATTGTTTTTTGCCACCGTGTCATGGCTTCCCATGCCTGTGAGACTATCATGGACCTTTTAGCCAGATCCGAATGTCCCAGGGGCTGATTCTGAGGCCGGAGTGCTGTTTAGAAGTCAAAACACTTAATTTAGTGACAGGTGAATTGCTTCCGAAGAGGAAAGAAGTAGTAACTGAAATGTCAGCCAACTAAACCCAAACCTATGATGTGATACCACATAGCACATTCTCTGATTCAGTAAGTCATTTTGAAAAACAGTAATATAAAGATCCTATAAATTTTTGCTTTCACCCATGAAAATGTAGATCATCAGCAGGATCCTTTATCCATATAAAATTAGAAGTCAACCATAGACCCTAAAAGCTACAGTGGAGTCATAGCCCAAAGTCCTCTTGGCTCTACCTTCCCCTTAGTTCATAACACAACATTTTCAAGTACCCCAGCTTCTACCAAACCAAGTTTAGAAGTTTCTAGGGAAGATTAGATTCTGCCTTTCTTTCTCTAAGTCTTTCACCTTCTATCTGAAACCACGTTGGGATCAAGTTTAGATTTACTGGGAAAATGTTGTCTTGGATTTTAAATAAATTTAAAAAGATGAATCCACCTGGAAAAACAATCATGACAGACAGAAGACAGACTTCAAAGATATAGGATGAAGTGACTGCTTTGTAACCCTCTCCTCTATCCTCACACCTCTGACCCCCAACACCACTATCCCCCTAGCGAGCAGGCCACCTCCTCTGCTTTAGAACGGTCATCAAAGCCCCAAGGAAGAACTGCCTCAAACTCCCGACTCTCAAAGCCACCACAATCTACATTTTCCTCCTCCCCTCATTTCCAGTGAAAAGTCATTCCTGTTTCATGCCTGATCCCGCCATCTGTGATGCAACTCTCTCTTCCCATCATCAATTATCTCAGTTCCATCAACTAGCTTCTCCTTGGTACACCCTCGCTGCTGTCTCCTTACCACAAACATTTCAGCATGTTGAATTGCTTCCTGAGTTCACGGAACTCTGTGTCCACTGCTCTGTTCTTCTGACTCCCTTTGGGGTCAAGCTAGGATAGAGCTGCATTCTTCACCTACATTTGGCTCAACACAGAATGCCCTTTAAGGTCACCAACAGTTCCTTGTTGCAAAACCCAATAGACGCCTTTGATTTCTCAGAAGTATCTAAACTTTTGAAAAACCATTTCTACAACAAACAACTAACAAATATCCATTCATTCCACAAGCTTCACCTTTCTAGCGCCAGGAACTGAGGATGTAGCAATAGACAAGGGGTTGGCAACTGGGGAGCTCATGTTACAAGAAAAAAGAGAGCCAAGTATCCAACTGGTAGATAAATCAAAAAGATAATTCTTCTAGGTGATAAGTGCTATGAAGACAAATAACACTGAAAATGGAGCATATGGAAGACACTGAGTTGTCAAGGCAAACATTTCTGAGATGACAACACCTGTGCAAAGACCTTGGGCCAGCGTATCACAGGCAGAATCAACAGCAAAAACAGAACCTTCAGACAGGCACAAGCACGTGTGTTTATGTGTGCAAAAGGAGGAAACAGAAAGAAGGCAAGAAAACATGGTCTTGCTGGATAGGAAAGGGGGTTTCTGAGACACAAGCAGAGTAGGTCAAGCCTGGAAGGACAATGAGTCCTGTACTATAGAAGTCTGGGGCATGGGCTCCCCTCCCCCACACAGACCTCCCAAGTAGAAAAGTGTTGGAGGGCTTGGAGGGGTTAGAGAGGAGTGCCACAAGGATACATGCCTACATCTTTCACCTTTTAGTTCCAACTTTTGGAAATAAGAAGTCTCCAAGTGTGGGCTTAAAAGAAGCTGAGATGGCTCTGGGGATGGACCCAACTGGGCCCTAACTAGAGACAGGTCTGCTCCAACCCCTGTCCTCTGGGCTGAGTAGGGAAAGCAACCTAAGCTCTCACAGGGTGCTGTTGAAGATACGGTGGAACCACAAGCCAAGTCCCTGAATGAGTGCACATTTCTCCCAATCAGCTCCAGCGGTCAAGGGCCTCAAGGGCCAGGAATGGACAATGAGCTTAGAGTAGGGCTCTCCAGTATTTGTTCCTGGGAGAGAAAATGAGCACCCAAAGACATTCTCCCAAGGTTAAGCTCCCCAACACACACAAACACAACTCAGTCCACAGGGCAAGATAATCTAAATATCCTCCACTTGACCCTGGAGGCAAATGTGTTTGTGTGCAAAGGATGTGTTGAAATCAGGTGAAGTGGGGCTGGGGGTTAGATCCCACAGCCCTGATCGAGAGTTCAGACTCAAGACTGAAGTCCTGCCCAAGAATTTGAGGCTACAAATACCGGGATCAACGCAGAAAGAAGAGCTGAGAAGTCAACCTCCACCCCTGTCCCATTATAGCTGGGTTCAGAGCCCCCGCACCATGGGTGGCCTCCCACAGAGGGAGGGAAGTCTTCATCTACTTAACCCCCTCTGACTTCTCCCCTCCTTCCCTAACCCCTGCCAACTGACCCTCTTTTCCCCCAAGGCCAGACTCCTCTCCTATTTTTCTCAATCCCAGCAGAGGGAAAGCACTAGGGAGCCAGGCTGCAGAATCACTATGAGCACCATTTCTGGTGCTGTGAAAATGCCCTGGGGCCATCAGCCTGTGTCATGAGGTGCAGAGGGACAGCAGGGCAGCAGGCCTGTGTCCAGGTTCCCTCAGGAGAGAGGATGAGGTCAGGCAGTGTGTCCACAGTATGAAATCAATCAGTTCTGGAGTTGGGACCATTCAGGCGGACTGGACAAGGCTCAAATGCAGTATCTTAGGCTGTCTGCTCTCACCTAGGTTGGGACCGGGAGGTAATGTTCACAAACCCACACAAGGTTGAAAAAGGGGCCTGTGGAAAGGCAGGGGTCTGCTTCCCCATGCCTTTTCTCCCTGCCTTTGATATAGCACACTGCTGCATCTGACACATGAATTCGGAAAACCCCTTCCCTCTCTGGAAACTGCTTTGCACCTCTGGATTATATGGAAGCCTATTATCATACCCAGAAAATAACTAGGATATGCACCAGTGCAACTGTGGCTGTGATACTCTCCAGTGTCAACTGTGCCTCTGACTATGGGCTACTTCAGGGAACTGACTGAGGAGGTCCAATGGAAACCAAAGGGCACAGGGGACAAAAGGAACCCAGACAGACAACTGATTATACATAAGACAGTTAAGGATTAAAAATCAGACTCAGCAACAGGATGCCAGCGACGGCAGGGACTCGAGGCTTGGAGGCCAACACAGGGCTGGCACTTGAGCCATCCTTACCCAAATACCCCGGATGCCTGTGCACACCCTAGGGAAAAAATGACTGCAGGTGAAACCAAAAGACCTATGCACTGAGCCCAGGAGCCCTAAGGGTGCTGCTGTAACCGAGAGACTGGAGCGTAACACACAGATGCCCCTTCTCACCTCCAGGCAGGCTGTCCTGAGGCCCCCATGCCATGGGGACTGTGCACAATGGCAATTGCCACATCACTTCCAAAGCCAGATAACTTGTCCGAGGGCAGATGGGTCGCAAAACAGTGAGTCCAGGAGCTGAGGCCATCCATTCACTTTCTTGGTCACTTCTTTTTGGGGGTTGGCTTGGTTCTTCTTTTCAATCTGGTTTCCAAAAGAAAAAAGGAAATGCACAACACTGGTTAAATGATGCATACACACTCTCTCTGTGCGCGGTTACTATAATTGTAAATTTGTACATGATTTTTTAAAGATTTTATTTATTCATTTGAAAGTCAGAGATACAGAGAGAGAGAGGAGAGACACAGAGAGAGATCTTCTATCTACTGGTTTACTCCCCAAATGGCAGCAATGGCCAGGGCTAGGCCAGGCTGAAGCCAGGAGCCAGGAGTGGCAGGGCCCCAAGCTCTTGGGCCATCTTCAGCTATTTTTCCAGGCCATTAGCAGGGAGCTGGATTGGAAATGGAATAGCCAGGACTTGAACTGGCACCCATATGGGATGCGGGCACTGCAGATGACAGCTTAACCCACTGCGCCACAGCACCAGAACCTGTAGATGATTGCGAGGCTGTTTTTCTTCTGGGAAATTCAGCCTTGGACTCCTCTTTTTCAATTCTGGTAGTCTCTGGCCAAAATTGGCGTGATCACTTTTTTCCTGGACTGACCTAGGAAAAATATTCTGGATTAGCATACCAGTTAAACTGCAAGTTGCGATGCCCACATGCTTGGGTTCAAGTATGGACTCTATTGCAATTCCAGAGTCCTGCTAATGTACACCCTGGGAGGTGGTGGGTGACAGTTCAAGGGTTTGGGTCCTTGCCACCCATGTGACAAATGCCAAATGAGTTTCCAGCTCTCAACTTTGGCTTGGCCCAATCCTGGCTGTTATAGACATTTGGGGAGTGAACCAATGGATGGGAGTGTTTCTCTCCCTCTCTCTCTGCCTCTGAAATAAAATTTTTTTAAATACTCCCATTTTTATGTGTGCCCATTGTTGCTGTTTTTCTGGTTAATTATTGTGACTTTGAAACATAAAAAAAAAAAAAAACACTAAGGAAATCAAAGTACACCCCACTCCTGAGGGGGAAAAAAAAAACATGTTTTACTACCCAGAAAGATGTGACAGTACAGGTACACAGAGTATAGGTGCTCACATAAAAAATTGTGGGGGGTAACAGACTACGTTAAAGAAGGAAATAAACAACACCCAATAAAGACACTACAACAATGTGACTGCAGAGAGGCACTGCTTGCAAGTGTACCAACTGGCATGTTCTAGGACATCGCCTTTAGACAGCAGACCCTGCGTGACTGCCGGGAAGGTGAGGCCATGGCGAAGTTTCAGCGCATCATCACCATTCTTATTTTACAAAGCAAAAAAAAAAAAAAAAAGACAAATAAACCAAGATGCAGGCATTAGGAGTGCAGCATGCTTTTATTTCAGGATCAAGCTTATGGGCGGGACTCACGGTTTTTCTTGTAACTTGGAAAGTTTTTTAATTAGAAATAAAATTAAATTTTGGTATTAGCAATAGCATTTTCCAAAAATCTGAAATGATACAGCAATCCCTCCTAACTGAATTGAGGAAACTAGGGAAAACAAATGAAGTGATATTTTACTGAAACTTGCAGAGCAAATTGTAGCCTGGGGGTTGAAGCACATCCCTTGAAATTTGGAGAGGGAATCTATTTACATGTTTCAGATTGCTTCTGTGGCCTCAAGACATGGGCAGCCGGGTGTGTTTGAACTCCCCAAAGATTCTGCGGAATATAAAACCCAGATGCTGAGATCAGCATGGAAGCCCACTGATCCCAGGCATCACTGTGTGCAAGCAGCCACATCTGATTATCTAATGGCAGCATCTGGTTATTTCATTGGCACCTCAATAACAATGACAGCCACTTCGATGACAATGCTAATGGCCAAATTATGCAACAGTGGCCCCTGAACTCCAAAGCAACCAGGGGAGGCAACTAAATTGGAGAGAACTTGCTAGGAGTTGAGATTAAATGACACAAAGTACCCATTAAATAGAAGTTCTCGTAACACCCATTTACCTAGTACTATAATAATAATGATGAACTAAACATTTAGTAATGATCACTAATGAATTAAGTAAATAATGTCTTCATTTTGTAGATAGGGGAAAGTGCAGCTTTGAGAGAATAAGTAGCTTGGACAAAGGGAATCCACAGGCAGTAGAGCTTAGACTCAACCCTGATGCCAGAGCCTTTGCCAGACTGCTGGGTGTACTAAGAGATTTCATTCCATCAATAATATCCGCCAAGCTCTGAGTCAGGTCCTGCGGATACGCGTGTAAGATTTCAGATCCTGACTCCTACACACTCCAGCAAGGGAGATAGACAGGCAAGTGAGTGGATGAAAAGCAGGCAAGTATCAACAGAGCCCAGGGAGAGTAAGAACATCTGCCCAGCAAAAAGTGTTGAAGGCTCTTAAGTCAAAGGCCTCCTTACCACCGGCAATAACAATTTTGTAAACACAAAAGAGAAAGTGCTTTGCCACTATGAAATACTTCAGACATCATCCCCAGCAACCCACTCAAAACAGGAAAACAACAGTTCATTGTTGTAACATAACATCCTAATCGTTTAATTGCAGCCCAGCTTTGAATGGTTAAAATTATAAACACTGCCCACATAGCAGAACAGAAGAAACACATAACTCCGGCCCATAGCAGGTTGTAGAAGGAAGTGCCATAAATCTTTGGCCCACACATGGATGGCTATCACAGGACTGCTCTTCAAGGTGTTAACATGTCTCAAGGAGAGATTGGTCCCGCATGGGAATTGGAATTAAATCCATCACATAAAACCAGTCTCTAGAGCTTTGGTAACCATCTCTCATAAACATCAGGGTGATGTCAGTACCTGGTAATTCTGACCAATCATCACCATAGTAATTCTGACCGTAAATGGAATCCCTATGGCTCTTTAAATACAAAGCATGTCTATGCCCATTCTGTACTATGGTACCGAGTATGTCAACCAATGGACAGGGAGGAAAGCTGAGCCCCATCTTGAAATGAGGATGTGAAGAAAGCACAGGAATACACTGACAATCCAATTCAAAAACCTTGTCTGGTTGGCTCGGGCCCTTGGCTTCTAATCTCTTTAATGATCGGGAAAGTCAATTTGATAAGGGCATAATGTGAAAATACTTGTCTAAAAAGTAAATGTTTTAAGCAAACTAGATGTTCAAAAATATACCAAAAAGTCATACTTAAAAGAAAAATACAGATTTATCTTTACTCAAAGACAACATGTATGTCAACGTTGAAAATCCTATTACACCAGAAAAACTCTAGAAGGAAGGAAGTGAGCAAAATCACAAGATACAAGATCAATATACAAAAAAAAAAAAAAAAACACTTCTATTTTGTATGTTAATGAACACCTGAAAAATTTTAATGACGAAAAGTATATTATTTTAATAGCACCAAAAACTATAGCTATAAAATGGTAAGAAAATAGGTACAAGATATATATACTAAAATCTGGTCATTTGCTCAAAATTTTATGTTCACATGAATGTATGTAGTAGTTTTTTTCTTAATCATCAAAACTGGAACCTTCTCTTTTCCACGTTCCACTTGAACTCCGGCCACCCCAAGAGCCACCACTCAGTCATGATCATTCAGTAAGTGATGCCTGAAAGCCAGACCATAGATGACACACCTCTTAGATAATTCATTTCCTCTTCCCTGCACTTTCTAACCACTTCCATGTATCAGTGCTTACCTGACCCAGGCTCCCTTTACTGCAACCCTCTGAAGAGTAAGTTAATGACTAGGTAACCTGACATACAATGTGCTTTTAAAGTTTTAGCAATGGGTAGGTTGTTACTTTCTTCACAAATCCAATTCACTTGATCTTGCATCTTTTTTAATGCTTTCACTTTGGAAACCAAAAACTTAAATTTAGCACCTCCCACTTTTCTGTACTACCTGCCACAGACAATCTGGATCATTTGTTTAAGGTCGACTTAGGTCAGTACCGTTCCTTCTGTAGTCTGTGAACTGCCTGTCAGTTTTGCATGGGAGAGGGGTGGGAATTAGTTCTTGAAAATATAGATCCCCTGGCCTCACCAGGGAGCCAACCAATAAGATTGTCTAGGAGCAACTTTAACACACTCCCCAGATGATTCTTCTTCCTACTAAGTCAGTCAGCATTGTGTCACATCTGTGCGCAGTAACGACCATTACAAGTGCTGGCTATCAGAGTAGACATGAGACCCTCAAACCCAAGCAACACTAATAACGAATGTATAAAAATGATTCGCTTTCAATACTAAAAGGACTAAAGAGTTGGCTAGATACGTGTGCAGACAGGAGATCAGAGGAAATCACTATACCTTCTCTCAATTTTTCTGTAAATCTAAAATTGCTCTTCCCTAAATTGTTAAAAAAATAAAATAAAATCTGTTTTTTTAAATAATTGGCCTATATCTATGAGAGAGAAGATGGACATGTGCTTCTCCAGCCCTCCTTTTCTCTACCTGGGTCACCCTCTTTGTACCTACTCTTCACCCTAAGCCAATCTCCTCTGCAAAGCCCCAAACTCCTGGGGCAGGGCCAATATCTCCTTCTTCAGGCTCCCACAGTCCAATATCCTACTAATTATAACAATATTAGAGCACTTACAATCTACACTATGACCAATGTTATTTTATTTGATCCCGGATAATCACAAATGCCATGTCTGATGTACTGTCATACAAGTATGCCCTCCCCAGTACAACATATAGAATTTTGTTGAATTGCTTAATGAGTGTATAATATTGAGACTAAGCTTAACACCAGATGATATATGTTGAGAGGATGGTAGAATGAAATGCTTGAAGCTTTTTATTCTAACACATATACAGATATTCCAGTAGAGCACCATTCATTTCTCTCTCTCTCTCTCTCTCTCTCAGCACAGAAAACTGAGTATTCATTTATCCAATCTATTACTGTGGCAAATTCTTGGACTTGGGAAATTAATGACTTCCAGCCCTATTTCATAAAGGGAGCAGTGGACACGGCCACCTTACGTACACAGCCATAGCATCTAGAAGGAAAACAGAAGCCACACTAGGTATTTCAAACAGAGGGGATTTAATGTAGGGAGATGATTACACAGGCGTGGTAAGGCTCTAGGAGGGCCATTGAGATAGCCCGAGGGTTAGTAAACACAGGAAGCGGCTACTAACCTTAGGGCTGGGGTAACAAAAGGGAAGAGCCCGCGTTACCAGAACCTAGAAGCTTTGTTGGGGGACCCCCCACGGCTGGCGCCTGGCCCTCTGACGGGGCTGCTGCGCGGCTGTTGCTTGGCCTTGGCCTTCTGAGGGGGCCGCTGCTTGGCGGGCGGTGGTCGGACCTCTGGGCGGGGACGCGGCTGACGCTCAGACCTCGGAGGGGACCGTGGCTTGGCGGGCGCTCTGACCACCGCGGGGGGCGCAGCTGGCTGGAGCTTGGGCCTCTGAGGGGACGTTGCACGGCGGCTGGTGCTGAGAGGGCCAAAAGAAGCTGGAGGCTGGCGCCAGGGCTCTCCGCCGCCGCTCGAGGGACGCTGACCGGAGCTGCAAACCGGAAGGCAGGCCCTGCGCCCCCTCCCGCCTTGCGCTCGCCCTCAAGTGCCTTCCGCCGTCAGGACCTCGCAGGGAGCCGGGGAGGAGTGGTGGGCATCCCGGAGCAGAGGCGGCCGGTGGGCTCGGAGCGCACCGGCCGGCCAGGGCGAGCGGGCAGAGCCCCCACTCACCTGGTCCTCTGGCACGCGCAGCAGATCCAGTCCTCCTCCTTCTTCTGGTAGAAGCAGCCACTCTTGCAGATGCTGTACTTGCGATCCACAATTTCCGTCTTGGAGTTGAGGAAGGTGAAGGGCGGGCAGCAGCGTATGCTGAAGTGCTCCGAGAACCTCTGGTTCTTGGAGAGTCTGGGACCCTCCTTACCCGTCTTCTGACTCATCTCACTGCGGATCATCGGGGCAAGGAGAGAGGGGAGACACAAAGCAGCCCGTGAGCCCGTGAGCCTCTGCGGGAGCAGCCACCCTGCTCCTGCTAAGCCCACAGTCCCATCGGAGGCGCAGGACGCAGGGTTGTCCCGCAGGACGGGAATGTCCAAGATCGGCTTCACGAGCAACGGAACCGAGCGTTTGCTTCAAGCTTTGCTCTCTGCCTTTGTGAAGCCAGTGGTTACGAATGCTATACTGCTGTCGTCGCAATGACCTGTGACTACGTTAAAGTTCGCTGGATGTGGGTGAAATGGCCACTTGCCCATCAATTACGGCTTCTAGCCATTGGCTACATCCACACTACACTAGGCTCTTTTTGCTGTTTACTTGGTAACCTTCTTACTCAGTGAAGTAGTAGGCATTTTTATTGTGATGTAAATTTGAAATATGTTAACTCAAAAGCTAAAATAAAAGAAGCAAGGGGGGCCAGCGCTGTGGTGTAGTTGGTGAAGCCACCGCCTGCGGTGCCAGCATCCCATATGGGTGCCGATTCGAGTCCCAGCTGCTCCACTTCCGATCCAGCTCTCTGCTATGGCCTGGGAAAGCAGTGGAAGATGGCCCAAGTCCTCAGGCCCCTGCACTGCATGAGAGACCCTAAAGAAGCTCCTGGCTCCTGGCTTCAGAACGGCTCAGATCCAGCCGTTGTGGCCATCTGGGGAGTGAACTGGATGGAAGAGTGACCAACCTCTCTCTCTCTCTCTCTCTGCCTCTGCCTCTGCCTCTGCCTCTCTGTATCTCTGCCTTTCAAATAAATAAATAAATCTTAAAAAAAAAAAAAAAAAAAAAAGAAAGCAGGGTAGTAGGAAGGAGAATGGGAGGGAGGTAGGGAGGGGGAAGGAAGGGAACATCATTACGTTCTTAGAATTGATTGTTTCTTAAAAGCACATTGCATTTGTTAAAAACATTAACAATTATAAGAAAAAATTAAATTACATGTTTAAATAGTTTTTAAAAAGAGCATGCTCATTTTTATTTGTGTATTTATTTTTAATGTTTCCTAGGAAGGGGGAGGGGCATAGACTCTTTTTTCCCTTATGTTTCAGAGACCCATATAGGATAGGAAAAATATTACAAAAGCTTACATATCCTTGGTTTAATAATAAATCCTTAGTTAAATTAGATAATAGATATAGTAAAGTTGTTTTCCTCTAACACTAAGAATAGTTTGATTGAAACCATCATCACTATTTATACTATAAATACTACACACTATGAAAAAGAACAAAGAATCAACACACAGATCAGTATCTTTGGATCTTAGAAATGGTCTGTTGAAGAAAATAAGTTGACACAAAAGAATAAAAGCTGTATGGCTCATTTTATGAATGAAATGAATCTGTGGTTATGTTTGGAGAAGGTGGGAGCTGCCTAAGAAAAGGCACAAAGGCGCCTACAGGGGAGTGAAAATGTTCCTTCTAGGACTCTGAAAAATGCAGAACTAGTCCTCCCCAATGCTCCAAAACACTGGGGCGCACAGCCTTTAAATGACTACTCGCCAACAAGCCAATCAGTATACAAGGGTGATGGGCATATCCGAGTCAGGAATGTCCCCACTGCTGACAAAAGCAAGGTCAAGCTGGAGGCACTGGTGTGCAATAGTTCTCACTCTGGCCAGCAGAGGGACTGAACAAAGGTCAGGGAGAGAACAAAAAGCGATGGATTCTTCAAAGAAGAGGACATGATGGATCTTTAAGGCTAAACACAACTAAATTACACTAAAAGGGTATTTTAATATCTTTGTTCTTTTTTGATATGATTGTCTTCTGCTAGAAACAGAAATCAGGGTGGGGAGCCAGCAATGTGGCGTAGCAGGTAAAGCTGCAGCCTGCAGGGCCGGCATCCCATATGGGCGCCAGTTCAAGTCCCAGATGCTCCACTTCCAATCCAGCTCTCCGCTATGGCCTGGGAAAGCAGAAGAAGGCCCAAGTGCTTGGGCCCCTGCACCCATGTGGGAGACCCAAAAGAAGCTCCTGGCTCCTGGTTTCATATTAGCCCAGCTCCGGCCATTGTGGCCATTTGGGGAGTGAACCAATGGATGGAAGATCTCTCTCTCTCTCCCTCTCTCTCTCTCTGTAACTCTGCCTTTCAAATAAATAAGTAAATCTTAAAAAAGGAAGGAAGGGAGAGAGGGAGGGAGGGAAAGACAGAAATGAAGGCAGGAAATTGAGTGCGCTTTGCTGGCCCTCTGATTATGATCGTCTAAATTTTGGGTTATGTGTCTTATGGTCAATGTTCTTTCCCAGTGTTTCACTTAATTCTGTCTATACAAAAAATAATTTTTATGTAATTAAAATTCTTATTCAAGGTTCTGTATTTTGCTTAGAAAGGCCTTCCCTATCCCATCAGCTTTTATGCACATTCATGTATTTGCTATTTTGATGAAAATCATCTCGGCATTTCAGGCATGGAAAGCCAAGACTCTGTGGCAAAAAGATATCATACACGGAGGATCTCTGTTGAGACCTCAGTGGAAAGAAAGGGTCACCAAAGAAGGAGACATTCTTCTCTGAAGGGAGGAGAGAACATCCACTTTGCTTATAGCCGTGTCCAAATACCAATGGAGTCTATAGTCACAAAAGGCTTCCATAGCCTTGGTTGCCCATGGCAAGAGCCTCGGGTGATCACTGACTTCATAAATAAGAGTGTCAATTGTTAAATCTACAACAGGAGTAACTGTGCACTTGCTCCCCATGTAGGTCCTCCATCCCTAATGAGTTGTACTATAAGAATCGACTGCAAGTTTTGTTCCCGACTGTACTCTATGTGTTGTGTGTGTACATGGGTGCAAACTATTGAAATCTATGCTTAACATGGAGCTGGTATTCTGTATATAAAATCAAACTAAAAATGAACCATAATGAAGAAGGAGATGAGAGAAGGGGAGGGAGAGGGAGGTGGGATGGGAGTGGGGGAAAGAAACACTGTATTCCTAAAGTTGTATCTATGAAAAAATGCATTCATTAAATAAAAAAAGAAAATCTCTCTGGATCCTACTACCCCAACCACTTGCCTCTTACTCTACTCCTCCTGATAAGCAAAGGCCTTGAAAACTTTTCAGTACAATTCCGTGTCCACTTCCACGGCCCCCACTCACTCAGCAGTGCACTGCAGTCTGGCTAGCGCTCCTGTTCTCCATGCTGCGAAACCTCTTCTCCTCTGCACTGGAGCTCTCTCCATCGAAGCCCCTCCCTTTCCTGTGACACCACATTCTCCTGCATTTCTTCATCTCTAGCCCCTCTTTCTTGATTTCTCTTGTCGACTCATCCAGTTTATCCAAAACTTTTAATGCTGGAGCTCTTCTAGGTGCAATAAATATGAAATGATTAACAGAGTTGCCCTCCATCATTTAATTCAACAGCTGTTATATACCAGACACTATGCTCAGGGCCCTGAATTATGCTAAGTCCTCAAAAACTTAACTTACCCACCCCTTGGAAACGAAACAAGTGTGAGACTAGAATGCATAGAGTGAACCAATGGTCACAAAACTCATTTTTGGAGCCCACATCTGTACAAGTCACTGAATGGGGTGAGAGGATGGATCAGATAAACATTGCGCTCAGGATGAGCTGACACTATAGACAGAGGAACATTACACAGACACCAGTGACAGCACTAGAAGGGACAGCATGTCCCGGAACCTGTGAACATGCTGACAGAATTGAATTATAGGGCCCCCAAGAGCCCTCATCCTAAGTGCAGTGCAGAAAGGGGAAGAGGAAATGATGCTGGGCTACAGGTGTCAAGGTAGACGGAGAGTCGCCTGTCACCACGAAGTGAGCAGCTCTAGTGCCTGGGAACATGGGCATGCCATCAGCTGGTCAGAGGTGCAGAAAGACGAGAGGGAGGCAGGCCATCCCATCAGTTTGGAATACCCTGAGTTTGAGGTGCCCAGGACACCCCCGAGGAAATGGGCATCCAAAACCCGGGAGCTGCATCGTGAGAGTCCTTCCTTCCACACGTGGAAAGAGACACAGCCTTGGAAACAGTTGGGACGCTCGGAAGTGAGCACAAGGGGAGCTCTGAGGAGGGTACCAGGCCCACCTCCCCCCACCTTTGGGCTACAGGAGGAAGAATCACAAAGAATGGGGAAGCAGGGGTCCTCAGAGAGGTAGGCTGAGTCACAGTCTCTTAGAAATTTCCAAATTTTCAGGAGCAGATGTCCAATGATACCTAAAGAAGACTTTTACCCAAACAGGCATTTATAGACCAGTGAGAAACTACAGATGCTTCACAGGCTTTGATTCATTGTAAAGACCCTGAGAATATGCCCGATCCTACATGTGTTGCCAAGTTCAGCTTGAGAATGTCACGCACCCCCACTACGTTCCAGCAGGGGGCAGCCTCACCTCTAGCCACCCAGCAATGAGTGGTCTGGAAGGAAAAAGCAATTCTCTTCCTGGAAGAACCCTACCACCGTCCTAGGACAACCAGCTGAAAATTCATCCACCTTTTAAAATGAGATTTTTCTCCTCCCTTAGTAAAATGTCCGTATCCTGGGGCCAGGTTCTTGGTTAGTAACTCCTTTCCCCGTAACAGACACACAACATTTAGTTGGGAGGCATGGTTGCCTCTCCAGCTCTGTCCCACACTACCCTCCTGTTTAGACAAGCTAATCACTGCTCACAAAAACAGCAAGGGTGACAAGAGTCACCCTTTCCCAACACCAGGATTACCAGGAAGTCAGCTGTAGATACAGCAAATAACCAAAAGCAAAGCAGAGAACTGACACTTCCTGAGGGATCTGCTGTAGGGTGGTTGATTTACATATTTTCTCTTGCTTTTTTATATGGTCAGCAAATGAAAGATGAGAGAGGCTAAGAAACGTGACCAAGTTCATAAACCCAGCAAGATGCAGGCAGGGGACTGGAATCCACGTCCAAGTGACTACAACACTCCAAGCTCAGCGTGGCTTTGAACAACTCATACTCAGCCCTCCTCACCAAGGAGCAGAGCAGGAGTCCAGGCCCGGCACCTGGACTGCATTTCAGGAGATTAGGAATGGGCCTCGGGTGATAGACAAGGCTGGACAGACCCATGGGTCTCTGTCCTAGAGTGGAGAAGACAGAAAGCTGGGGTCATAACTCACCCCCGAGGGGAAAGGGATGGGATGGAACTGGAAGGCTTCGCAGCAACATGGCAGCCAGGACTTGTCTGCCTTGGGGGTCAGAACGTGAACCTGAAATGGGTCCCAGGGGGAGAGTGACCCACAGGTGCTTTTGCAGCTCCTTCCCCTCCAGTCCTATAGCAGGTTTTACAATCTGTTTTCACTGTTGAAAAATTAGAAAATATGCACAGATGAAAGTAATATAAATTTTTGTATCCTTAACTCATAATAAAACACTTGTAAAACGTTTGAACATTTTTTCCTTTGAGAATATTTGCATGTAAATATATAGTTAATAAAAATCGGTACCATAACTTCTACACTGTTCAAACTTATAGAGTTGGAAAATCATTCATTTTTAAGTTTTAAAATTATAGATGCAATATTTACAGTACTCTCATGGTTTTTAAACTGTGATAAATGCCATTATAACCCTTTTGATGGTTTATATCGCTCTTCTCTTGTGTAAGCTTTTAAGAGATTATCTCATTATTTTTTTCAAAAACAAGCTCTTGATTTTGTCTTTGTTCTTTCTAGCTCATTCATTTATGTGTGTGCTTTTTATTACTTTTCTTCAGTTTTCTTTAGGTTTATGTTCTTGTTCTCCATTACTGAGCCAAATGCTTGGCATATATGTGTGTGTGTATGTATATTTACAACTATAACTTTTCCATTGAGTACAACTTTAGCTGCATACTGCAATTGATAACCCAACTCTTTCATCTTCAATTCATTTTCAATGTAGATAAATTGCTCTTGAATTTATCCATTGTTTTTAAAAATCTTTTATAAAATTTAAAATTTTATGGAATTATTTTTATAACAGTGACTTAAAATTTTGCTGCATTTAAGTCAGATAAAGCAGTCTGTGTGACAACAACTTGTTGATAGTCACTGAGATTTGCTTCAAGACCAACTACACAGTTAATAATTGTAAATGGTCCACATATGTTCATAAAGATTGTGCATTTCTAGAAATTAACTCAGGATTACTGAATGAAGATAAATAATGAATACAATGAATATGTGCATATTGGTCAATATGGCTAACTGGCTGCCCACTATCTATTCTCTCCTTCAGTGACAAACCCTGATATCGTGTGGCCAGTTAAATATACCCACGCCCCAGGTGACCATGCTGTAGCCACGGAGATGTAGCACAAGCCATGGGGAAGATGAGCTTTCCTTAACACTAGGGCTTTTTTTGAGGGGGGGGAGGGGGCAGGGAGTTGTGTAGCCAGTGGAACCCACTGTTCCAAGCCCCACAAGTTATTATTCCAAGCTTTTAGGTTTCATCCCATAGGGCCTTTTCCCCTTGCTCCGTTCCCACCCAATAACTGCACGGCCAATACTTCCACTCCTTTAAGGCTCAGCTCGAAGCCAAGTCACTTCTTAGGAGCCTATCCAGAGCCTCCCGTACCCCAGGAGTAAAGGTTACCCCTGCCTCCTTGTGCCCTGACTTTGTACACTGTACGTAATCCTAGGACCAGCATCTAGAAGTTTCAGCACTTTCTCCCACTGTCTCCTTAAATGTTCTGTGCCTAGAAGCCTCATCCAACACTTAACTGAGAGCAGGTGCCAGTAGCTGCTTGATTAATGAGTGAGTACACAGAGCGTTTCTCACAACCTAAGCTACTCACTGGCTGTCCCCAGATGCTCTCCTGCACCCGGGAACTCTGCACTGGCTCAGGCAGCAGTGTCTGTTCAATAAAAAAGACAATGCAAGCAGGGATCCTTCTAACTGAACCGGAAAGTTACAAAACTGGGATCTTTAGGCAGGGCCGGGGGGAAGTTTTGCAAACTCCCCTTACCGTTTCCTATTTATGCAAATTAGCTAGCCAACTTTCATTTTCACTACACATTCCAGAGACAGCCCTGGACTCTATGTAACCACTAGTGCCATCCACATCTTTGAGCACAACTTCACTATCTGAAGCCATGAATATAAAATAGAGTTTACAGAATCTACAATTTTTTTAAAAATTTTAACTTCTTAAAAGGCAATTGAGGCCAGTGCCGCGGCTCACTAGGCTAATCCTCTGCCTTGCGGCGCCAGCACACCGGGTTCTAGTCCTGGTCAGGGAGCCAGATTCTGTCCCGGTTGCCCCTCTTCCAGGCCAGCTCTCTGCTGTGGCCCGGGAGTGCAGTGGAGGATGGCCCAAGTGCTTGGGCCCTGCACCCCATGGGAGACCAGGAGAAGCTCCTGGCTCCTGCCATCGGATCAGCGTGGTGCGCCAGCCGCGGCGGCCATTGGAGGGTGAACCAACGGCAAAGGAAGACCTTTCTCTCTGTCTCTCTCTCTCACTGTCCACTCTGCCTGTCAAAAAAAATAAATAAATAAATAAAGGCAATTTACATGTGGGGTGATTATTTAACAGAAGAGGCATGTGCAGTCCCTGGCAGTCCTCTGGGAAGAAAAGACAGTGCAAGCAGTGGGTTGCCGTGAGACAGCCCACGCACCCCTGCACATCTGCCTGGAACCACAGGAAGTCAAGCATGAAAATCGCTAGGAACTGGAGTGACAGGCGGACGCAGGCCACTATTCGGAAAGCGGAACAGATCTTCACTTGTCACTCGGATGGCTCAGAACAAGCAAGGGTCTACCCTGCCCTTGTTACATGGAACTCCGCATGGGAAGGACAGCAGTGAACCTTTGTCTTGACATCCAGGGCCTGAATCCTACAGGACAGCAACATTCTGCCTTCAGATACAGAAACTCCAAAGGAAGGTATCAGTCAGTCCCAAGACTTAGTCCCTATGCACTAAGAAATGGGAAGTTTAATATGTACTTCGGAAAAACATTTTTTAAGTTAACATAGCTTGAAATTTCTGATTTATTCAAACTCAGCTCAGTTTTACCCAACCCCCCCCCAAAAAAAAAAACACAATTTTTTTCACTTCTCTATAATTACGCGGCTGATGTAATACTCCACGCCATTCCATACTGCTCATTGGCTGGGAAAGAAATGGGAAGGGAGAGAGCAAGTGCACCTCTGAATTTGTAGTGCCGGGATCACTTCCGGTTAAACCATCTCTTCCGAGTACGCAGCCAGTTAGAATTCCATTCCCTAAAAGGACTCTTCCTCCCCTCCCTGGTGAGAGCATGGGGAAGCTGAGTGAGCCCCTGCACTCTGCTTCATCCAGTCTCACTGGGAGAGGCAGACGTTGCTGCTGATCGCTAGACTCGCCCAC